ATTGGGGTTTTAACGCACAAACAGTTCATCTTCTTCCAATTGAAATAAAAAGAAATCTATCCGTTTCTCTTACATGACACAGATACCTAAAGTACTTTTCTCAACTCTGTGTATTGCATCGATTCGATGCAGAATATGGGCCGATCGCGACAAACTCTTGTTCAGCAATATTAGCCTATATTTTCTTCGAAGTATTCTCCAAATATTTTTTAGGGCTTTTTAGGATGAACGAACCTGTATAGGAAGCACTGATTCCACTGATATTTAAGTATTGAGTGATACAAATGCTGTCCTATGTTTGTCTATGTGAATTAAAAGTCGATAGCTTAAACTAATACTGGACTCAGACCTAAACCTGGCCGTTACCGCATAGGAAACACTGATTACAACTAGAAACAGTATCAGGGTTGATTTACAAAAGCTTGTATATGAGAAATAACAGTTTTTAGCGTGCGTAACAATCAATGTGGAACCCAATTTAACTGATTCCCTTTATGTTTAGACTCTCTTTATGTGATTTAAAAAACGAGAAAAAAAGATTTTCAGGCAGGAATAATAATTCTTGATCTCTAAATGAATTGAGAAAGTGATATTTATTACAATATTAGCCATTCTGATTGTTCAAGTTTGAAGTTGCGATATGTACTCAATCGAAGAGCGCCCTACAAATATGCTTTAGTATCAGACGTGTGTTAACTTGATTACATTCATATGTTCTTCAATTAAAATATTTAATTCCTTTTGTCTTTGAGTCAAAAAAGAAATCTTGCTTCGGTACATGTTATGAATTCCTCCTGCTAAAAAAAATAAAGAGCTGGCAGATTTCGCTAATTATGATTCTTTCCAACTTCCTTTCGGAGAGTAATTAATACCTCATCAATAAATTAAAAGTATATTTTTATGTTAATGAACTTTTCCATCGGCGATAAAAACCTTCGACGTAATCATTTCACCACTTGTTTTTTTATTCAAATTGAATACAGCTTTTATGTTGTGTCCCCGCCAATGTTACACTCAGACGTAGTTCATAGTATTCTGTTCACATACTACATAAACGTTTTAAACGTTTTAAACATTTTAACATACTACAAAACGTTTTTCTCGCAAAAACTTGAAAACCTCTTTCGTGTTGTAATTTCTCGAGACGCTGATGAAAACTTTCTTTTCCTATAATATATCTAATGGATCCTCTTTTGTTTATTTGTGTTTTAATGACAGTTAACGTTAATTATATTGGACAGCGATATTATATAACTTTACTGCGTCTGCGTCAAAATCTACTATTCGGCAAGAGTTAATAAATTTTCGGTATATGCGATACGAATTTATAGAATTGAATGCTAATATTGAGTTGTTACTCTAGTCTTCCATATCGAAAACTTAACAGATTATTTTTGTCCGCTCTTGTTTCTGTACAGATTTTCAGAGCGCTGGCGAATCTTGATTAAGGTTTGCGCATCTCAAAAAAACTGTTCGCCAATTTTATTCAAGTTCGTCTTCTTCTTAAAGTCCTCGTAATTTTCTCCATCGTTGTTTCTATAGGGTTTATTACTGCCTTCCTTTATTGTTCTCTCTGCTCAAAACATTTTTAGCCTCAATCAATTTAAAGGTAGGTTTCGAAAGAAAAAATTTTAAAATTTAGCAATTTAACTCCCAAGATCTCAAATTATGATTCTCCTTACTTAAAATGAAATAATTTTTTCCCCAAATGGTATTGTTTTTCTTCTCATCTCTTGTCTGTTTGACAGTGGAATGATCCTATAAGGAGAATTTATTTTTTTAGTCACTCCTGAAGGCGAGAGGGTTCTAAAGATTTGCCAATGCTTGCAAAACGAATCCCTTATACAACAGGACCAGTTCACGCTCGCAAAGTCGCTTTTTTTCAAACTCACAAAGTTCCTTACCATCCACATGACGTGAAATGGATTGCCCAAGTACTTTCTTAAAATTAATTTACATGGAAAAGGTAAAACCCATGAAGTCAGAATGGTTGGGAAAATACGCCACAGCCTGACAGTATGCCCGTCATTCAAAAACAACGTCCTGTTTCCTGCGGAAGTCGAACCTGTCAGATTCCCTTACTACCACCGTATACGAGTGTCACTAAAAACGCGCAAAGAATTGCAAGAAAACATTATAGCTGCTAATTTTTGAAGATAATCTTTTTTTTTTTCGGTCTCTTTTCCGCCTTTCAGTGTTTTTCTTTGAGCAAGTCTAAAATGTTCAAAACAAGTGTCTTAAAACCCATACAAAAGTAGTGAGGTGACAAAAATTAAACATACAAACAGCCGCTGCAGATCCACCGTCTGTCTTCCCGTTTGCGTGAGTCAGACCTTTTTTCTCTTAATTTCGAATCACACAGTCACAATTTTCTTCTTTTAATTTCGAATCACACAGTTCTCCAATATTAGAAGTTTTCTCATAGTTACCTTATTCATGGCATGTCGACAGCTGGCAGATTAGATGCAGACGTTTCTAAATTTGTACTCTTAGCTCTTCCTTCTTCATCAACGATTCACAAATATGTCATATACCAGTTGAAAACCTTAAAAGGGTGTACAATCCGGAATTGCTTGTGTTTCGGCTACTAATAATAGTAGGGAAAATCACCGTAACACCTCGGAATGAATGCTTTGTGTTCTTTTCCAGTCGAGAGAATCGCGAAGAAGAGGGAAAAACTCGTTATTATTTTCAGAAGCGTTCTACCGAGACATCTTGAGCTAAGTTTTGATCATTGCCAATTTCTTCCTCACCAAGACTCCCCGACCATCTCTGACTTCTTCCTATTCTGCTTTACCTCGTTTTTTCCCATACAACTTTCGTTCATATCATTCTTTCACGTTTACCGCTCGTGTCCGTCGCTTGAATTCAGTAATCCTTTTCTTCACACGCCATAATTCACTGCGTTGTGTCCAAGTCAATAAAACTTTTATTGTAATTTTGAAAATAAAAAGAGTGTAATGGTCTTTTTACAACCTTTGCCGAAAGTCTCGAAATTGACTTTTTCAAGAACGGGATGAAGAATAGAATGCTAACAAAAATAAGGACTGATTGGAAAAAGAAAACGTGTTATTTCCTGTCAAGTTAGCCCTGGAAAAAGCCATGTCTACTCCATCTTGTAAAATTTCCCAGGATGCTTTTCTAAGGTGGAAAATTCTGTCATAAGCGATTTCCACTCTGAATTCTGGATGGAGGTTACATGATTCTGTAAGAACATCATTTTTGTTCACTTTCATTTTGTTTCTAAATCTGTCGTGCGCTCGTGAATTATACCGATACAAGCGTGACTTTGAAGGATCGAAACTTTTCAAAATTTCCCTCACTGATACGAAAAATACACCATTTGTAACATGTCTTTTAGTTTGTTTTACTGATTTATTTTTTGCCTTAAAAATATTATCATAAACGTAAAATTTTCTAGAGCGTTTAGAAGTTAAGGTCCGAATGTCTAAAATCGTTGCCTTCGCTGAATTACGGCATGTGGGTTTACCAAAAATGAAAATGAAGGACGAAATCATAATGCAAGTAGCTGTTCATTTCTGCCACACTAATGTCTAAGACATTAGTTGTTATTTAACCCTCAGAAAGTCGAGCTATTTGTGGCATTTGGTAGCTCAATTAACTCCACTTATCACAAAAGATACCCAAAATTCATGGACTGGAAAAAAGTCATGTTCACTTAGAGTTCATGTTTAACTCTGATTGCATTTCTGTGAATAGTAGCGTGGGCCATTTAGTTTTTCTTTACGAAATTCGATGGCATCAAAAGATCAGTGACGAGATTACTCTCAAAGAAACCCACGTATTTTTCGCAATTAACAACTGAACAGAATCTTGTTTCGATTGGAGTAGTCAGATTAAGAAAAGTGACTTGAATTATTTGTTTCCATGAAAATTATATTTTTCGCCGACGCTCCGCGCGCAACGACGTCAACGTCAACAAAGTCGCTTTTGCCAGATGACGAAATTGCATATTCATATATTTTTTTATACTTTGCTAGAGTTTATTTCGTCAATGACAAATGTTTTTCAGGAAATCACCGAAGCAGCTGGGATTTCGGACAAAAAAGTTTACACAGTACAAAGCGTCTGCATGATACTGAGTCAAGGGACACGCAGGAGCACTGAGAGTTTGTGACGAAGAAAAGGCTTTCTCGTAGTCGGATGATGAACTTTATGGTTTAACATTTGTGACGTGGTTTATTTCTTCAACGCCTTGTCGGGGCATATAAACAAAAATTACAAGTAATATTAAAAGTATCTATTTTAGTCTCTCTTGGAGTTTAAAATAGCTTAAACACGTTCATTTATCTTACGAAGGGATCTACAGTTTCATTAAGCTTCCTCACATGAATAACCGCTTCCCGTTTCCAATTCGCTAATAATGCAATTCTTCGAAGTGGGAAGGAAGATCAATTCCGCTCTTTTCTTCGAAAAATATAACAACTCTTTAGAAAAATATTTAAGAAACACATAACTGTAACTCCGTTACATTTTATTGTCGATTCTCTTTAGATTATATCAAAATGTTTGTCTACAGTACAACATTTGGCTTAGGTTAAGTCGATCTAATCTTTGCCTTGAAATCGAAGCGAGAAGCCTTGGTAGTCTTTTTTTTCTTCTAGCTTTACAATCTACAATAAATACTTCTCTCGCAAAATTCGCGTCATGTGCTTCTCACACTTGTCTGAACATGGGACTTTTCTGCTGACATTTTAAGACATGTGCAATTTTACAGAAATCACTCTTGTGATTCATGGTTCTTTCGATGGCTGAAAACGGATACAAAGAACCGGCGCACGTCAATTCAAAGAGATTTGATTAAATTTGAAACCCAGCCTGAGCGACAATTACACCAAAGGATTCCTCACGTTTTAGTTGTAAAAAGAACTTTTTACCAATATTTTATTACACAGGTTTTAATTGCTGGTAACTTTGAGGTGACAATGACATGTCTTCCACGAAAAGCTGGAAATGGACAAGACAATAGTTCGAAACTAAAACGTTTTCCACGTGTGAAACAAATACTGGTGCATCAGCATTATAAAAACTGGTTAAAGCTATTTTAGTTTCATACGTGTTCTTATACTCATACAACGCTTTTAGCCGAGTCAGGCAATTTCTTCTTATTTGCAAGTGTTTCGTGACGTCAGATGGTCAGATTATCTTTGATAGCACGTTGAAATAGCGTTGGCGAGCATTTTAAAACAGAGTCGGCAGCAACACTCAGCCTTTCTCTCTCAACGACAATTTACCGAGTGTTTCTGTAGACGTTTTAATTCAACACCTTTGAAAGAAGTGAAAAAGGCCAATTTTACCTTTGGAGAAGCGATAAAAAGCGATTTCGCAGCCCATAGGGTCCTTTCGCTGTGACGTAATTCGTGATTGTTTTGGTTAATATTACGGGATGGACAATGAATGAAATTCGAATTCCCTCGGGCCAAGTAAATATTGAATTTCCAGCCGAGACAGCAATGAACGTCAATGGAGAGATGGCCGAAGCACTGTCCACGGTAGAAAACAGCGACAACACACCGCCAGTTGATGGCATTTTCGCTGCCGAATGTATCTTGAAAAAACGAACCCGAAAGGTAAGAAATCTGCTGTCGAAACCGTGTCATATCCGTGTTGATTTTCGCTAGAAGTGCTTCTCTAAATGTGAATTTTCTGCTTGTATTTTTTTGACAGGGTAAAATCGAGTACTTGGTGAAGTGGAAGGGGTGGTCTGCAAAGTAAGTACAATTTTGCATCGACAATAAAATTATTTCACGGCTACAAACTGATTAGAATATTTTGTTGAATTTTTCAGACACAACACCTGGGAACCGGCCGATAATATCCTTGACGCTCGACTGCTTTTGGCGTATGAAAACAGGTAGATGGGAATGTCGTAATTTCAGAGCTTTCCATCTGATTATGCAGTGCTAGAGTTTTGCGTCTGGATGACACGTTTGGTTTTTATTTGCATCTTTTGTAATTTCAGTCGAAGGCGAAGAGGGAAACGTTCAAGGTGGCAACGAGGGATTGCAACAACTTCTAATAAAAAGCCGAGACTTGAAACGGTTAGTGTTGACGTCTCGTTGTATGGAGGAATATTGCAATTTAAATACGTTAAAAATGTCGACTGCGACAACACGCGCGCTAAGAAGACATTGCAATATAAACGTTGTGGCCAGCTTAAGCATATTTTGCCTTGTCAATGTCCAATGTAGAAATATTAATTATTGCGACATTTGTTTGTAATTTCAGGGTCCAAGTTTCTTCATGAGAGGCGATGGGAATTCACTAGGTTGGGATGGCATTGAAGACGAAGATTGCAGAGGAAGCTTGCATGAAAGCGACAGCAGTGATTCTAGTTTTGTTGGTGACGATGCTACAAGTAACGAATTTGAATTCAATGACACTGAAGATAATCCGTCAGCGTGTTTGCATTCTCCACAACAAGTTCTTGGCTCGGAATTAAGTTTATCAAGCTCGGATGCAGCACCGCGCTTACAGAGCACCCAAACAGGAAAACCTCTGGCAGACCACAAAATGGCAACACTCAACGTTAATGACGCGGGAAGTTCACGGGAAAAACACAGCAATAATTCCAGCTCTGAGCTCCCGCCGAATGGGCCGATTTCTGGAGAAGAAAAGGAAGATTTCTCCTTGAGCAAAGCTAGTATCCCTCAGGAGACGAAATTAAAGATAAATTCGGAAGGATTAAACGGTCATGATGAAAAAGGTTCTCTCTGGGGTAGTACATCCGGCAAACCATGGCGTGAAGCTGTGAAAGTTGCCGATAAGGTTTATCTCGACTCAGCAGAACGTGAAATCACGAAGACGGCTTTACAGAAACGTCGAGAAGGCATAAGCAATGCTGAAATTGGCAGCAACGGAGAATTGAAACAAATGACAATGAAAATGAATGGCGAGAACTTTGTCAATGTATCCTCCGTCACGGACTTTGACAAAGGCAGCCACGCAAAACCTGGCAAGTCAGGCAAAATTTTTCGCGGTGAAGGCGGCCAGAATCAGACTGATACAGCCATCAGTGGCTCCGATGAATTTTATAGAAGTTTGTCAGCGCAAAATAAACACCGCCGTAACGGAGAGTTGCTTGTCTCGGAGATGACGGAAAATACATATGCTTCTCGCGCTTGCCTACCAAGCGAAAATGAACACTCCACTAAGTCTACGCCAGTTGAAAGCTGGAGAAAGCCTTTGATTGACCAGATCTTCATTACTGATGTAACATCAAACTATGTTACAGTTACGGTGAAAGAGTGTTTAACTGATAAAGGGTTCTTTCGGCAAAGGTGAAACGCAGAAATCATTTCAGTTGAAACTACTATCAACTAGCGAGAGTTTCATTTCCAGTTCATTCGGTCACAGACTTGGATGCGTATACAGTTGTCAACAATTTTACGGTCGCTTGATGACCTTTGCGCCATGCTAATGGATCATTTGAGCATGGATTGAGCGTTTCTTACTTCAGTTCGTTAGATGACAATAGGCTAGAAGAGTATAAATATCGAAACCTTTGCGACATCTTTGACGTCGGTGTCGTAACAGCTCCGAAATTGACCCGATTTTACTCGCACGGTAGCCTTCAAGTTATAAGAGTTCATTGTTGGGTTTTTCTGTAGGATTTGAGGGTTGTCGTTTTGATTAAATCTAACCTATAAGCAAGCATCTGTGCTTTAATCAAAACATAGGGCCACGATTAAATACAGATGCGATGTCTGCAAATGAACTGAAACATCGGGCAATCCTAACAATAACTTCTTCCTCGTGACCCAAAAAACCAAATTGTGCCCGATCGAACGACAGGTAAACTGAAAGTCTAGTTTCAAATTCTAGAACGCTTGTGATAAAACCGTTATCCCGCTGGTTCGAGCTCTCTGTCGTCGATGATCACAAAGGATCCGAACTGTGAGCAAACTAAGTTGTACTCATTTACATCAACTGGGAGAAATATTGGGAGAGAATTGTGTAATTTTTGCTATAAAGCAAAGTTTTATCCTTAGTCTACAACAGTTCACACAAACGTGTTTAGAGTGGACATTGTTTATTGAGCCACGAAGCCAGAATTATTTGTTTTTTGTTTTTTTCCAATACAAAAAAACAGCATTAACCAGAAAGAACTTGAAATAGGCGAAAAAATTAAAGTTGCGTATACGATCTTAGCTTCGCGAATGAAGACTTAGAAACCGTCATCGACAACGTTATTATAATTGTCATACTTTGTAATGAAAACATGTAAATTGAAGATTGTTAGATATTCACAGAATGCACTTAATCCTCGATTTGAAATCTTGCAAATTTTGTGATAAGCCATGAAGAATTATTCGATACGTTTTTTGTTGAATATTTCAGTCGGCGAGATTAATAAAACTGCCTACATGTGTGGGCGCTATTTGTAGGTCCTTAGCGGCCGTTGAGTTAAAATTATGTACAGGAGAAGTGTAATAACCAAAATAAAAGTTAACAAAAAATATTACACTCATTTTGGATCGTTTTGCTTTGTTATCGTCGTAATTGTAAAATATACCCTGTTAGCTGTCTGTCTATGTATTGTTGCCAATGTGATTTTCCTGGTATCGACATTAAATGTTTTCGTTTGAAGAAACGACGGCAATTTACGAGGCTTCTTGCTAGCAATGTAAATACAAAAAACTTTTCACTTTTTCCACTGACGGAAAAGCTGCGACAACACTTCAGAGTTAATCTACGACATTTTCATCTGGTTAGCTCATGGATGTTTCAGCTTCACTCTGGTAACTCGAATAAAAGATAAGAATGTTTACATGCACGCGCTGCGTATTTGCGATTATCTGAAATAATAAATCAAACTTGCTTTATTACGAATTGTCAAGGGCTCCCGGGTAGGTTGAATATCATCGATGATGTGTGCCTAAAGTCGAGCCGTCAAGGATGTAATTTTACAGAAATAATTAACTGAAAATAATATTCCTAAAGTAGCCCGGTTCAATGGGAATACTTGCAACGTTAGGGATTCAAAAAAAAGTTCTTGTTAGTCGAGGTGTGATTTCGTAATCATGTCATGAAATATTCAATTCTCACTACTTATGTAGTTCTTGGCCAGAATAAGACAACTGCTTTGATAAATACTGATAAAAAGCACTCCTATTAGATTAGTACGCGTTAAACGACAAAGGCTTGGAGCAAAAGTGCACTTTGAATTGGCATAAAAAATTTTGCATTTTTATTAAACGAAAATCGCACCGAAACAAAAAACTGCACGATACATGAATATCGAGAGAAGCAGCTTTTTTTTTTTAACATAAAACTTGGGTAAAATTCTGTAGCTCATTGGGTATAAATGAAAGAAAATCTCATGTCTCAAGGCTGTTCATGTTAATCTCAGAGTTTCCAATAATAAAACTCGACACTGAGATAACGTCACAATTTATTGTCAAGACTGTTGTATAAACCTGGACTAAAATTCTGTGTCTTATCGAGTTTAAAATTCTGTATCTCATTGGGTTTAAATGTAAGAAAAACTCTTCTGTCTCAAAGCTTTTTTAGCACCAGAGTGTCCAATAATAAAACCTGACATCGAGAAAACGTCACAGTTGGTCGCCAAGATTGTTCTCGGTCCTGAAGCCGGTATAAAAAACTGTCGCGTAGAAGGTGTAGATCAATCATTCTAGAATGTTTCCCGTGGCTGTTCTTTGCCTTAATATGAGGGGCGAAATTTTTTGAGAAAAGTTCGGCAAAACTTGATGAATGTACTAAACATGCCCTTAAAAGGCTGGAGAAATTTTTTGTGCGACGCTTTGATTTCCTATACTGGCTTTTTCATCGCGAACACGTACTTTTACCTGCAGGGATATAATTAATTAACAATGCATTCGTTAAGAGAAGACAACATAGCAATTAGTTATTTAGTTTCACACCCCAAATCTGACAAACTGTAATTCGAAATATTATTATGTACTTTGTAGAATGGGGTTTCTAGAAAAAAATATGGACAACTGACATCACGAAAGTCATTTAGCTGAGTATTAGGATAAGAAATTACCACAACCGACACAACACCCACTTTTATATTCAACCAACGCAGTTACGTGCTAGAACTCAAACAAGGGAGGTTTCCAGATGGAATACGCGTCCGAAGAGAGTTTTCACCTGATCGTTCGTGGCCCAGAATTTGAACCGGATGGCTTCCAGCTGGTCTCACCGGAAAAATCGATCAATTTGGAAAGTTAGGGCCTTCGGTAAACACATTATTATCAATTTTATTTACCTACCTGATTAAAAAACCATCTTCTTCTGTGGTAACAAACTGTTAATACAACACGTACTGAAAAATAGAAACAAGTCACAAAGCGTTCTCCGCCGCAGAATAATAAACTTTCGTTGGCAAATGAGAATAAAAAAGCTCGCATGAAAAGAAATGCAGGGATTCGTTCAATTCTAGAAAATTAACGGATAACTTTACAGCTAACCCGTTTTCTCGGCAATGCCGAACGTAACGTATATCTCGTATATTTTCGCCTAACTATGAAAGCTGTGGGCAGTGAAGTTTTAAAATAACACAATGACGCAATGCAATGATACAAATTTCATCTGAAAAATACTCTCTGAAAAACATGTTATTGTGAAGTCATAATCGCAATGCGTAACTTCATCCTTCCATAAATGAAATGGAAAACATCCAAGTTGAAATTGAACCTCCAAGAATTAAAGAGTATTAAAATTTGTCGTAAACAGGATACATTTTGTAGACTTTTGAAGATCCGTCTTATATCGCGAATATTATTTTCTGAGAATTTCCTGGAATTTTTAGGTGTTCTTCGATTTCATAATAGTAAATGCGCCCATTGCAGTTTTGGAAAACCACATTCAGGAGAGTAACTTTGAATTGATCAATAATTTCAAATCGACATCCGGTAAAATGCCCTCATAAACAATCTCACTGTAGGCAAAAATGGGTGGGTACTGATTTTTCTTTGCTGAAACTCTAATAAATATGGAAAACTTAAGTCAGTGTAACTATTTACGTATACTTCAGTTGGGTGCGTTAGCGCTTGACAAAGGTTACATTTAGCTCCTTTTCATGACTGGATAAATACTTATGTTTTCATAGTACTTATCAGCCCAAGGAGAGAACTTTCCACGTCATGGGGTTGGGCCATGACATAGCTACACGTGAGCATGCGAGACTGAGAACCTGATGAAATATTTGATTTAAAGGACGTGTTGGAACGATTAATAATTCAACATAGAAAGAATTAAAACTTGATCTATCCGGACACCACTGAGTTCCTCATTCTGGTTGTTTTACATAAATGGATTTGGTTAGATATAGAAACTATTTGGATCTTGACGAAAGATGTCAAACATTTATCAAGAGCAAGGGAAGGAAGAAATGTTCAGGTTCTCATCAGGATTCAAGGCTAAGCTTGTTTCAATTTTGCATGCGGCAAACTCTCGCTTGGCGTAAAACGAGCCAAAAAGCAAGTGCGCAAAAGACATCTTGAGAAGAGACTGAAAGTAAAAAATAGATGGAGGTCGAATAGAGAGGTGGTTTTATTCCATCAAGATGTCATCCTTTATCATGATAGTAGCGACTATACGGAAAATGAGATTTTCATTCTGCTCCCAAAGGCCGGGAAGGCTTTCCGGGCCCCTTCTAATGCAGCTGTCAAAAGCCATATGAATCAGAGGTGACATTTAAAATAAATCAACCAACAAAATTTATCCCGGGTTTCTTCTAGAAATAAAATACCTGTAGTAAACAATTCCCACTGTTAGCTAAAAGATATCCACATATTTTATACCTAGAATTGTTTTTAAAAGACAGTAAACTACATTTAGAAACCTTTAGCTGTATTGCGCCAAGCATCTATTTCAAAGGGTCGATTTTTATTTTCACCAGGAAGATCAGATATAATTTTTTTATTTGGATTACAAGTCAGTTAGTAAAGATTAACACCAAATGTCGCACACGGAATTTTTTTCTTTTCCGACTAACGGTCGACGACTCGTCCGAAATATAGAACGAGCTTTGGCTGACTTTTTTTTAACTTTGATCATTTGAAATTATCCTTCAGTGGCGTTCAATGTCAGTTATTGACCATAAAGAACATTGCAGAAATAATTTTGATCACCAGAATGTCGAACTTTTTTCTTAGTTTCGGAATGTATCCTTTGTGTGTGTTAGTGGTTAGTTTAGCATAAGAAGTAGCTAAAAGCTCCTCTTTTAAGTTTTGTATTAAGTTTGGATTTAATTTTTAAGATTTGAACTGATCAAGACCACTTAAAAGAAGTTTAAACATCGTGATGGTGACAATGTGGTTAAAATGAAACCAGTAAAAAATGTGGCAAATGTTTTAAAATGAAATCATGAAAATCAAGTATTTTTTCAATACAAAATTGAGCTGTATTTTGGCATAATTTTCCATAAATCAACTTATTTTCTAAGTTAAAGGCTGACAGGAAATTCCATATGAGCGTTCTAACTTCATCGCTGTTGACAGAATGATCTGAAAAGTACTCTATGGACTGCACGTTTTTTTACATCCAGAACAATGCGCAAAATATCCTAGCTCGTTTGTAGTACTACAGCCCCAGAAGTTTATGGTAAATGAGTCAGCTTGAGTGGTAGTTTGAGGCTACTGTATGGTGCCTGAACATCGCCCCTCACTCTGAATACCAAGACCACAATCGTCGCCGAGAGTTCCTTTGTCGTCGCTTCATCAGATGGACTTTACACACAAATGATTAATGTTAAAATCATCCGGAAATGTAGTTCTCAAAAGGGTTACGCCTCCCACAGAGGTAATAAACAAGTGTATGTGACTAGAATTCTCAATGACATGTATTTGTGTTCGAGGATTTTGAAAGCTTTTAATATCCTCCTACTTAAACCTAACCGGTCCGGAGGACGGGCCAACACTTAGTACCTCGTCAAATATTTACGGATTACTTACGACAATGACTTTGAGTTTTTTAAATAAACATTGGCAACCGTTTTACTCAAAATGAATTTTTCACTGCAAAGTGGATGTAAACTTCAGTGCGACAGCTTAGGCTCTCGTAGTTGTTGGAAAAACATCAGCAGCTTTTTTATTTCGTGTGCTGTTTATAATTTGTTAGAGATGTCGTGAATATCATAACAGAATTGCAGGAGTGAGTAAAGTAATGCTTTATTCAGTCAAATATTTTACTGAGTTTTAACGATATCAACCATGAGTATTTGATTGATCAAGTTTGATCGTTTGTAGCTTCTTATGGTCAACAGAACTTCTCGGTCACTGCAAAAACTAAACGATTGAACAACAGTCCTTCAATTCTCTACTGTCGTAATTTTTTAGAACTTACCCAGTGAAAATCAAGACAGCCTGGAGTGACAACAGAGTCTTTGGAATGAAAAAACTTCTATGAGTTGAAAGAGAATGCGGTCGCTATTTGCATTAAGCAACTCATGAAACCCACATGTCGATTACCTTTATGATGTCATAAATGGACTCTGAACTGTTTTTGAGTTGCGCGAAAAATGTTGTTTCGTTATTGCAATGTAATGTGTAATGGGGTGTGCGTTACTCCGAAAAGACTTTAATAAACACCAACACTGTAAGACGTTGTACAATCAAGAATAGTTTTGAATAACTCCGCCATAAAATGAATTTGCAAACAAATGTAGCGTAAGAAATTTCAAACCGACGACAAGATTTATACTGGGCGCTGCCCGTTGCCTTAAAAGGAATGGTATTATCATGGGTCAACGCAATTCAACTTGAACGTGCGGTATAACATAGTTTTCATATTATTATCTTTTAAAATTAAATTTGAGCTGCAAATAACAATCTAGGGTTAATGGACAGTCACGCTAACAACAAAAACTCTTTTTTCAACTCTCTTTATTTTTCGTGATTTCAAGTTTTGTGACTTCGCTTTGAAGATTGGCAAACTCTAGCAACATTTCAGCTGAAAACCGTTTGTTTACCGTAGCAGCTGAAGCGCCCTGCCTCCTGGTAGGTAACAGTGAGTGCTACGATTTGAAAACTATGTGGTTAAATTGTTTTTAGCATTCTTATTAGTTATAGTGATCTAATAAAATACCGTATGGAGGATAAAGAATACAAAAGCTCGGACTAGAAACAGAGAGTGACGGAAAAAATAAAAGCAAAAACGCGAAAAACACCTTCTCAAATTTACTTTAAATGATGTTTGTCTGATAAAATCTGATCGACTTAAAAGCCGATTTAGACTTAAGCAGGATTACGATTAAAAGCTTTTAAAACACTTTCACTTCCTTAAATTCAACCTTACGATTGATGTGAACCAGGGAAATATCATAATGATAAACACAATGAAGCAATTAGAAGCTACAAATCGTGCTCGCGACCGCACCACGGGTGAAAGTGGTATCTGTGAACGCATACCAAATATTTAAGGCTTTAATTATATTTGACTGAGTAAGTGAGAGGCTGCTCTTATCTGTGGTTTTTGAGATAAGAAAAATAAAGACCAATTCAACCATGAATAGTATCACGTTTACCTCCGACCTCAAAAGGTCGCCCAGTTTCTGCGGCGGCAAATCTTCACAAACGTTACCGCGCATAACGTTTAATGTTCTTTGTCATATTTTGTTTCCATGTATTTTACCCACCATGAAGAGAAACAGTTTCAAAATACCCCAGAAAAAGTCTTAACGAATATCGGTATAACTTTAAGCTCGCAACTGCCAGTGTCTGCTGGCGAACGTGAATTGTTTCATTAAGACTAACTTTTTTTTTATTGTAATGCTTTAAGTATCACAAATGGCGATTACAAATTATCCAACGCATTAACGATCCTATCTCTTCTAGAATGAGTATTTTTACACTCGTAGAAACTCATTTTAAGTCGATTTACTCCTTCTTAAATTAATTTTACCCCTGATTTTAAAAGGATTTCAATCTTGTCAATGTTTCCTCTAGCGCAGCATGTTATTGAAAACATTATCTTTTTCTTCTCCCTTTATTTCCCACTCTTTTTATACAGCGATACTTATCGGGGATCTTTAAAATCTATCAACCGTCAATAACAAGGCCAGTCCAAAAAAACTGCCGGGGAGCTTCGTCCCCTACTCTTTGCGAGAAGTGTGTGGGGTTCTTTATCGCCTCCTACTAAGCAGTACGAAGAAGATGCAGGAGACGGGGCCTACGAATTATCGTCCTTAGCCGAGAATACTATCGAAAAAAAGAATTGTGTGTGTAATGATAAGTTGTTAGGTCGGCGTGCTAGCGAAACGCAGAGACACTTTTCATTGTTGCATAGGATATGATATAGGCGGATTTACAACAGTTACGAATTCAGCTCAACTGCCCGAACTCAACTTTCGAACTAAACTGACAAGAAGCTCTTTATTCATCCGCTTAATTTCATTTGTCTCAAGACCTTGCGATTGATCTCTGCTGGAGTTTCTAATACTTCACAATAAATCAAATAAACAAATTGGATTCGGTTTAAGTTTAAGATATCGAAAATCACGATTCATTTCCTTAGCGGGTCGGCCGACCACACTAAACGCTGCCATTTTTCCCTTGTGCGTGGGATCCTCCCCCGCGCAAATCACGGTTCTTCAAAGGTGGATCATAAGCGCCGTGCACGTTTTTCCGTTTGTAAAAAGAGCGTAAATTAAGCCGGCTGGGAGGTGCCCACGCATTGACATTAATAAACTGATTGTTGAATCGCTGCATTACAAGGGAATTACCTTGACCGTGACGACTCTCGGAGGACTGTGTAATATTTCTTTAAACAAGTGGATTCGAAAAGCCAAATAATTTTCATCACTGTGTTTTTCCCTAAGTCACTTCTGTTTAAAATGATAGTAACTTTGTTCCTCACTAATCGATGTAGGTACGTTTAGTGCTGTGTAGTTTGACTTGTGGTCATGTGACTGACACTCCTCTATGTGCTACCAGGTGACCTCGAGGCATTGCAATCTTCGCTCATGGGTCTTTTATGTGTACATGCTAAGAGGTACGCTTCTTTCACAAGACTACTTAACAGTTTTCAAGGAATATATTATCGCATTCACAAATGTTTCTTCCTCTCGGCGCCAACTTTTGTAATGCGTCAATTCAGTGTCCACTAGACACAGAACGTTAATGGGATTTCTTCAGTTATACGCCCTATTCAACTTGTAACCAAAAATAGAGAAAGAAAAACGAAAAATATCACTCATGCTAGGGTAAAGGAGCGAACAACTGATTGTCCTTTGAGTTGCCCCGAGGAACTCCGAAGTTTTTGGTATGACCTGGAGCATGTATTTTGCAACCGCAACTACTAAAGAGATAATTCTAGAAAGTGAAGAATACTAAAACTTCCTCTTGATGTCTAAAACAGAATACGGAAAAAAAAAAAAAGGTTTCAAACGCCGCATTTCTCTGCCAGTCAACGAAAGAGAGGGCGGACATTTCATAATAGGATTACGTGGGACTGAACGTTGTCTCGGAATTTTCCGCATTTGGAAACAAAATCTTCGAATACTTCTCGCAAAAATGGTGTCAGTAGGGAAGTATATTGATGCTTCGCTCCTAAGCAACTGGAAGTAACTGTCGTACCACGCGCGTTTGAGTCACTCTCCATTAGTGTACTGATGACGCTATTGGGAAATTGGAAGACTCTCGAAAGGCTTGTCGACTGTACTCGACGTTATCATTTTCTTGTTTTTCCACTGACATCCTGCGTGGGTTAGTACGCCCGTGAAACGATAGAAGATGCTGTCTATTGTTTGATCTTTATATGGTTACAGCAGAAAGAAAGCGATACATGATCAAAAAAAAAAAAAAAAAAAAAAAAAAAAAAAAGTCAGAATATCATAATTGAAAAATCTCTAATCAATTTTTTTTTTCTAATTTCGCAATGTGAGGAAGTACTATGTTATGAAATGTAATTGACGTTTTAAATAACAGTGAAATAGAAACTATGCCGGTAAGTTTGACTTCCCATTCACCGGTCGAGCAAGTGTAAGGATTCGATACTGTGGACTGCCGTGTTAAGCTATGGAATTTTTACTGGACGCGGCCTCCAAAAACAAATTCCATAGCTTAACACCGTACTAGAAAAGAGTGACGATTTGAGCCAACTAAAAACCCATTAAAATAAAGAAATTCAAAAGGATGAGCCAAGAATGAGTTAGAATTCGGCCGGTATATACTAGGAGTGAATAGCGGGAATGTAGTCTTCGCAAACTTAAGCTTCTTAATCAAGAGTTTAAGAGCGAATTTCAAAGGAAAAGTCATGGTGGAGTTAAAGAGCTACATAGCGATTTTTTCAGTCAATTTTAGCATCAGAGCATTTCCTTTAAATTGAATAAAACCCACAAATATTCGCCTGCCCTCAAGGATTGACGGGGATACGTCGAAATATTACAAGAAATCTTAAAGTTTTCGAGAGTAATCTCTTATTTTTCTTTGAAATCTTGTAATTTTTTTTTTGAAGTGAAATGCAGTAAAAAATGCCGAACTTCCCGATCGAACTTCGTTTCTTTTCAAACGGTACAGTGTCAAAAAAAAGATATATTTCTAATGAGTAAAGAGAATGAAAGGTAATAAATAAAACGAACAGAACTTTGAACAGAGCATTTACAATGAACGCATGCCAGCTGCATTAATGTAAAATCTCAAGACAGCGCCGAAAAATATATTTATCAATCTCTTCCAAATCTTCAGTGAATGAATAGAGGGGGTAAGTTTCTAGATAAACTATGGTGCTGCGTCGGTGAGGGAGTATAACAAGATAATTTGGTTTTATCAACTGACTTGATAATATAAATTGCCCACCGCACGCGCACCGAGTTTCGGAAGCTGATGTTTCGAACATTAGCCCTCCGCTAGAGCGAATGAAGTGATTCGTCATTCGTCATCCTCGTCGTTTGTCATTCGTCATCTTCGTCATTTGTCATCTTCGTCATTCGTCATCTTCGTCATTTGTCATCTTCGTCATACGTCATCGCTGTCATTCGTCACGGTCGTCATTCGTCATCGTCGTCATCTTCGTCATTCGTCATATTCGTCCTTCACTCTGACGAAGCTCGAAACGTCAGCTTTAGAAACTGTTTATGGAGGCCAATTTACAAATCTTGGTTTCTTTTCAATCACACGCCCATTACTTCAGTAATATTTCTCCAAATTCCCTTGTAGTATGGTGTACGAGTCCCTGGAGAAGGCGATTTTTCTGTAGTTACTACTTCATCAGCCAAAGTTCTTGACGAGATTTCTTTGTTGCGGTTTAAGGCTCTTCTTTTCGCGGTTTTGACCGTTGTTTTTTCAGTCCGAGACGAGATGATTCTCGACTGCCGTGATGACTTCGTGTGGGATTTACCATAATAATGACGTTTGTAAAATTCATTCGTGGTCTGATTTGTAAGAACAAGGTACAAGTGAAATAACGAGAATCCTGTCATGGCCACACCAAAGAACAAAACAACTAGAAACAGAATTGCCAGCAAGGGCTGCCGAACCAGCATATACTACAAGGAAAAGAGAAAGGGAGTTACTATAATAAGTTTTTGCTCAATGTTTTTTCCTGTTTTGATACTATGATTATTCTGGGTTGGTCTTGCGTCACTCGAAATGTGCCGTCGCAGGCCTGATGGACAGTGGATTGAGGAGTCTGGGTCCGAGCCCTGGTTAGGGCATTGTGCTGTGTTTTCTGGAAAGACACTCTTCTCTCCCAGTGCCTCTCTCCACCCATGAGTACTGAATTGGGACCAGCAAATTGATATTTAGGGATATTTGAAGAATTCCTTGTGGTTGATGGTGACGAACCCGTTCTATCAAAAGGTTCCACAAGGGCATAAATGGGTAGGGATGAACTTTTAGGTAAAGTTGACAACATGCTGGGGAATATCACCAGGGCCAGCCCAAGTGGAGAAGTATCACTTCCTGTTTCATGCTAAAGAGGCCAGGATGAGCTCCAACAGCCATGCAAGGTGGTCTCAAACACAAGATATATCTTCCATCCACTCTTCATTATGAAGTTCTGCCCATGAGATAATATAGTGGGGGCATGCAATGGATCTTGTTTAACTATGACTCTTTGAATACTAACTGTTTCATTGTGCAATTTCAATAAAAATTACCTGAGATAGAAATCTGATTCCTACTGGATAATACTGTCCATCATAGGCTTCATACTTCATGTTGATCAAGCCCTCTGAGAGCACAATATATGCATACACAATTGCCACCACAAATGTCACATATGCACAAAGTATTGCTGAACTTGTGATGAAACACAAGAAGAACTTGTAGTTTTTTTTCCCAAGGCAGTTGTTAACCCAGGAGCAGTGATGGTCAAAACGACTCACACACACATCACATAGAGCTGATGAAATAAAAATGATACATTCACAAGAACATGTCAGTGGGTAAAAGGAGTAACAGAGATAATGGCAGGCTGCATCAAACAGCACTTTCTTTCAATTTGAAATGGCTGCTATTGCTGTCATAGATGGCCAAATGCTGAATAAGCTGGACTCCAAGTGGAGAGGTGCAGACTCAAGCCCTTGCCCTGTGATCTTGTTGTGATCTTGGGAGAGACTTTCAACTCTTTACACCCTGACATCACTTTAAGAAATGAACAGTGGTTAAGTGTGGTCTGTACTCTTATTGACAATGATATTTGTCCTCATGTGCAGTGGTCAAAATGTTATGGACTCACAAGTGCAATTATGTGAGTCAGCAACAAATTTTGATCATTGTGATGATAAATGTCCTTGTTGCCAAGACTACAGACCATGCTAAACCACTGTCTATTTGTTTTTTATCACTATATCTACATCAAATAAAATGTGTGTGACTATTACTTGACATGTTGACATGAGCAGTGTTGTCTGTACTCTCTTATTGACGATGGCAAATTGGCCAATCAGATTGGAACATTATAGCCAATTGTGGTAAAAGTCAATATTCTCCATACTGTTCTCTATACATTTCCTGTCACACCCATAGGAAGATTTTGTTTTAAAAATTCAACAACCTCTTAAGTTGAGGATCATTTTCTTTGTTCTCAGAAACTGATTAGTGGCAAACTAAGATCAGTGGTTCAAAAGCAGACCCAAATTTTTTGTTTTCACAGAAAAATGTCAATATGTTCCTTGAAGCTCCCCCATAGGGACTTTTCAGCCACAATGTAGACTAACTAAGTGCTTGAAAATCCCCACTGGCAGGAGGCAGACCAGTGGGCTATTTACAGAGTGCAGCCAAGGAGGATTTGAACCCGGGACACTGGATTACAAGTCTAACACCCTGACCACTCGGCCACACTGCCTCCACAATGCTGGTTGATATTAAGTTTTACAGTCAATCTACATGACTAACTGCAACTGAGTCCTCCATACCCAGAGTCTAGCACCCTAGCCATCAGGCCACTGTATCTCCCACACACATTCCAGTACCTGTATGTAGTTACAGTTAATGACAAATAATTAAAAACAACCCTGCTTGAATTCAATGTTTTCAAGGGAATACTGGTTAAGTTCCACACCACAATTAATTAATTTACTTACAGCAATGTTTTGATCTTGCTGGCTTAATAAACTTGCATGTATTACATCCTTGTGTTGTATAATAAACACCATCAGGGTTATAGTCATTCATATACTCAGCATGATTTGTCACTGTTATCATACCAGGATCATGTGTACAACAAATCCAAAACAGCACCACATTGATGGCTATAAGAATATATGTAACAATGCTGAATGCATTTATTTTGTCAAAGTAAGGAATGACTTTGAAGCTGTAGATAGCAGTCCCTCCACTAACAAGGAAGCCATAAAGAAGCTGGATACAAGGATTTCTGGAAAGAGACAAAAATTAAAATGTCAGAAATGAAGGTGTACAAGCAAGTGTCAAGTCAAAAATGATTCACTCTGACCAAGGAATAACACTCAAAATGTCAGCTTAAGAACCTCTCTTAACTGTGGCAAAATCACATTATCGATTCATGTGATAAAATTAATTATAAAACGAGCCAAACGTCAAGAAAAAAGAAAAACTGAATACAGAAGTGTCTACTACAAAAGTGGAAGCAGTGACCTGATAAGTCATGCCACTCTGAAGTTAAACCTTTAAAATACCTTAGCATACCTTGTAAACAACAGCTAAGTTGTAACACTTCTTATGATGCTAGTTAAAGCTGTTGGAACGCACTTTTCAAAAGTAGCCTTCGTTGAATGGGCAACCTAAGTTAACGATAAATAACATTGCTTTAATTTCAGCCACGAAAGACATATGGGCGCATACTCAACTCAAAAAGGTATATCTGACACATTCTGCGACTTTTCATTCTAATGAGAACGAATGAATTTAGCTTAGCGTTAAAATAGACTTTAATTCAGCAATATGTGCAGGAGAGGGGTACTTACTGAAAACAAGCCTCTTCGCAGAAAGCCAACCAAACCAGTTCGATGAAAGTCAGCACTTCCAAAAAAAACTACATACGATAGGGTCACGAAAACTAAAGTATATATTAATGCCATGAACAGAAAGTCCATCTTTTTTGACTTTCACAATGCAGACGATTGCACATCATTTTTCGTCCGCCATCTTTGTTTACCATTGGAATTTTAGTGGTGTATGAGCACATGTACGGTCCACCCAACGACCACTGACTATCTATGGGCTCAAAATAATTGCTGATTGTTTTTTGCGTTGTTATAACAACTAATAAGAAGCCAATCAGAAGGCAGCCAGACATCTGTTGCATAGCGCGGACAAAACATTTGCTAACTGTTTATATCAGAGAATTTTACGTTTGAGATTCATTTTGTGGACAAGAATTGTCTGGGTAAGTTCTGTCGCTTTGTTGTCCTCGATTTTGCTGCAAAAGATTCGTTTCTCAGCGAATTTACGTTCTTCAACAGAGCGTGAGCAAATTGCATGATCTCCAATTTCTATCGTGACGAGGATGTTGTACACGTTGCCAATTTATTTCAAGCAATTTTTTAGCTTTTCTGGTTCACTTATATCTTATTTTAAACGAGAATGAACATCGTTTCATTCCTTTTTAGTTCCCCGTATTCCTCACCAAGGTCTAGGCTGATTTCAAACCACAGAATGACTGCGAAACTCAACTTTCTCTTTGCCATTGCTGCCCAAGGCAAACTGGCTACCAAATATCGAAGATAGGCCTTTTTTTCTTATTGACTCAAACCTTTTTTAACCAAATTAATAACATTTTCTCATTTCCTTGTAGGCTCAAACAATATGGCCTCTATTGTGTCTCCTATCGCTCAACCTTCAGGACCGAAATCAGTTTCCCGACCCAAGCGCTGGAGCGAGGAAGTGGAAGAAGGTAACAGCTACTTCCTTTTTATCTGTGCACCTCACAAGATTTATCATGAAATGGCCAACGATCATAACATTCTTTACTGCTATGACTTTCTATAGCATCTGACTAACCTTTGTTGTGAAATTTGTTTTTTCTAGCTTACAGATTTCAGATCGCTGGCTATAGAGATGTACACGAGTACCGCGATGTCAAGCAAAAAGAACCCGTAAGTTCCACGAGATATTATTTCCTTCAGGACTGTGTATTGTTTTACTTCTTAATCGTGGCTATTAAGCCCCCATTTTGCAAGGTTTGAAACACTTTATGCATACAAAAGGAGATAGAAGAACTTTGGTAACTGTCCGTGGTGTTTCCTGCGTGAATATGCATGTATAATTCTGGTCAGGCGACCAAAATCCGTTTGCTCCATCTAAGGAAGGAGTTTGAATTTCTGTTCAACCTTAATCTTTTTATCTGCAAAGTCAAGCTTATCATCTAGATAATCATAATTACTTGGGAATTTTGTCAGGCTGACCTTTCCTGAGCTTCCCTATACCCACCAGTTCCTTGGTTGTGAGAAATTTATTGAGTCACCTTCGAAGAAAGTATTACAATTTTTGCTTCAGAGTGTGTAAAATCTCTCCTGTGAATTAAAAAAGCGATTTCTAACAAAATTTATCTTTCAGAGGAAGGTCTTGTGAACAAGTTAGGTTTATAGTATTTTGTCCAAGGCCATCCTGTTTACTTCTACCCTTAGTCTGCTTTGAAACAAACAGATTTTAAAATTAAAGTGATTAACTTAAAGTTCTCTTATAATGATTATCCCTCCTTTTCTTGACATAGGATCGCTGGCCTCATAATGGCTATGTCAAGAAACTTCAACGGAAAGATGGCTGCTTCATTTACTTTGATAAGACCAGAGAATGCACTGACAAAGACGTTTATAAATGCAAATTGTATGGATATTGATAGTGCCACTAGAAAATGTTGTTCATTGAAATCAATGTAATGTCAGATTGCAGTTACAAGAGGGTTCCTGAAGCAATTAGGGAAAATCAAACAGATCAAGTTTGATTCCAATCTTTGAGCGTGACACATGATAAGAAGTGAAAATTGAGGAAGTCTTTGCTGTTTTTAGTGGAATATTATTTAAAGACAAATTATAAAGTTACAATTTTCTTTTAGCCGTGGTATTTTCCAGTAGCTGTAAAAATGTCATTTGTATGTACCCACAGTAAAGTTCAAATATCAGTTTTAATATCAATGATTATTTTGTATCAACTTAATATATAGCAAAGATTGTGTACAAAGACAAATTTCATGTAATGCTGTGTATTAATTAAAGTTCAATATAATTATGTAAATTATCAAATAGCTTTTACAAGGGTTCAGGCAAAATTTCTTATCACAAATTCAAGATATTTCTCAAACCATTGTTTCAAGTACATTTTTATTCCAAATGAGAATGCAATTCCCTTGGAATGTGTTAGTAAACAGCTATTTGGTGCTGCCTGTTAACCTTTATGTAGCCATCTCAATTATTATCCCCCTCTAGTTTCTCATATCAGGAATGCTTGTTTGTCAAAGCCCATCACCCCCACCCCTTTGTTTTACTGAAGTCAATCAACTGAAATACATCGAAGAATAACCAACATATCTGTTCCCCGCTTTTATGCCCTTCATTAACCTCTTTTTTTTCATATGCAACTTTGGGGATCACTCATTACTCATTTTATCACTTGGGAGGGTTGCAGAAGAATTTATTGGGGGGGGGGGGAGAGGGGGGACATGTGTTATAAGTTTCCTCCAGAGCAGTTTTCCAGTTGGGTGATTAGCCTTCTTTGAAACAACAGCTGAAAAATACAAATTTGTTGCCTTAGAATAGTTATACCAAGAAGGTAACTTATAAGCTCTGACCTTGTGTACTTTATCCAATTTTATGGGCTCATCTCCTAAATTTAAAAAGAGGGCACTACAGAAAATTGACTGCCAGTGGGGAAAGATCAAATTAATCATTAATTAACAAAGGTGGCAAAAATGAATTTAACCAAGACACAACCAAAATCCTCCAACCCCTACTTGTTCCCCTTATTTCCTCCCCCCCTCCCAGCAATGAATGTAATGACTAGTCCCTTAACAAAGATTTTAGGTGTTGTGTACATTTTAAAACTTTGTGCCGCATTTTCTGCATTTTGTGGCCAATTCTTGTTATAGCAATGTTTGATGTTCTTTACACGGAAGATATAGAGCAGTCTGATGGTTATTTCCATTCTATGCAACACAATTTATCAACAGTTGAAAGTGGACTTGTTTAATGAGAAAATTTAAATGATAGTGCTTTATAGCCAAAGTTTGTAAAAACATCAATGTCTGCTGAATAGCCACCCACTGCAAGAACCTGAAAAAAAAAAAAAAACAAGGGTCAATCAGGGCAAAATTAAGAATTCACAGAAAAACTTACTCAGATTTCAATATTTTCATGCAGTTAAATTAACTTTTATGAGGTTGGATTTGGGGAACATCATAAAAAAAAAGAGAGGTCAAAAAAGCCAGATGATAAATGTATATCCTATGGGTAGGTTTCCTTGAAATCCTCTGTAAGACAGGAATGTGAAATTATGAGTGACCAAATTCAGCATCCACTGAAGACCATGGACAGTGGCTGCCCAATTTTTCATATTTTTTGTTCAAAATGTTAACTCCCTTTATGCAGTATCTAAAGATAACTATGACACCAATCCAAACATGGAATGGGCCCATCTAAACAAAAATTAAAGACTTGACTGTTTGAACTAAATAACAAAGAAGTTCTAACTAAATGGAAAAACTTTGTTTTTGATTGGCTGCCTACAAAGGAAGCCCCTCCATGTTTTGTACACCCCCATTCCAACTAGCATAATTTGTAGTCAATAATTCAAAACAATTATAATGGATAAAAGAACAGACAGATAAACTGTTATTCAGCTACCTTATTCTTTGGAGACTTATCATTGATTTGCATGGTAAAAACTGAGTTTGGTGTGCAAGGAACATGTGTTTTTGGATCCCCATTAATCTGCCAGTGGAACACTGTTGGTTCTGACCCCGCAGACAATATCTTAAGGAGAAAATAAGTAAAATTCATTTTCACATAAAAAAAAAGGTAAAGTGTAAAAAAAAAGTTATTAAACATGTATCTTCTATCTTTTCAATGGAGCCAAATTTCAGTATAAAACAGAGCTATATGAAACTTCATGCAGTTTAAAATGCTTCAAGAAGCATCACATTTTGGGTAAAACTAGCCTTTGCACAGCTGCCCCCCTAACCCACCAAAAGAAAATCACCTCCAGGATTTTCTTTGGGAAGGGGTCAGCTGTAGGCACAACCAATGCAAATCTTACATTGGATGGGATCTTACTCTCAAATCTGGTTGCTTTTCACAAGAATGTCATAAAATTTTTCCATAAAAGGAACTCTTAACTCACTTTGTACTGTATTAGTCAAACAAAGGATGAACCCATAAACCTTTGCTTTCATTTTGTATACTAGGTAATAACATGATTAGTTATGTAGTTTAGTGTTAATAAGCATGAACAAAATTTTCAAAGACAACACAATGGGAGAGTGCAATTTGTAGTCTTTGAAAAATTTACAAGTGCTTATTTACCCAATTGCATGATAAAATTAATCATATTGTAACTTATTACCGGTAATAATTTATGTGAAAAAAGCATCGCACAAAGTCAAGACAGATGAAATTTTGACAGCGTGCGCTATTTACAATTTAAACTTAGTCTTGTGTTACAACTTTGCAATCTGTTACATGAAAAATGCTCTTGTTTTCAGCCAATCAGATGAGCATAACTTTATTCATGTATATTATTTAGTAGCATAACCAATGGATAACTAGAATCAGGCTTGGTATAGTTGATTGTTAGCCCGTCGACACCCTAGAGTGAGCAGCATCTAATTTTCCCTTACACTGTCACCACCAATCACATGCGAATGCGATGAGAATTAAGGACATGATCAACAATTTAAGAAACTCTTGATTTGTAAACAAATTCTCCTTGTCGGCACTTCAGAAAATGTATAGAGAACAGTATAGAGAATATGCATGCTGATGTTAGGGTGGTAAGGGTTGGTAGTATCATCACTTACAAGGTCATCATGCAAAAGAGCAGACTGTTGACTTGAAGCTGTTTTCAGAACACTTGTACAAGTCATTGACCTCAAATGCCACACTGACAGGGATGGGCCACCACCACAGACCTATAAATGAATGCAGAATACAACTCAATTGGATAGAGCACCGAATATAGCTCAAGTCATGGACCTTAAATGCCACACTGACAGAGATGGGCAACCACCACAGACCTATAAATGAGCGCAGAATATAGCTCAATTGGCGGGAGCGCCGGATTGTGTTGTGCGAGAGGTCGAGGGTTTGAACCCTGTCTGGACCAATACTCATGATATTAAGATAGCTGACGAGAATTTACTACCTTTCTATAACAAGAAATGGATAGATATTCTAGTCTTCTTGGATAAGGACGAATAAACAGTAGGCCCCGTCTCCTGCAGGGTTAGGGGTAGGAGACATTAATTTCCCACACACGAGATTACTGAGTGGTGGATGTCCTCCCCTGGGGTGGGATGGGTGGGTGTTGGCCCTGAAAAGCCCTGTGGGGAGTGGTCAATTAACCTATGTAATCTACGTAACATATGAATGTGTAGAGAATAAACACAACATGCAGGTAATGGCCCATGAACAAACATTGAGACATGTGCCCAGGAAACTGGCTGAAGTACACAAGGTCAAGGCTTATAAGAAAATTTCTTGGAGTAACTATTTATAATTACAATTGTGAGGCAACAAATTTGTATTTTTCAACTGCTGTTTCAAAGAAGTCTATTAGTTACCCAACTGAAGGTGGAGGAAANAGGTAATGGCCCATGAACAAACATTGAGACATGTGCCCAGGAAACTGGCTGAAGTACACAAGGTCAAGGCTTATAAGAAAATTTCTTGGAGTAACTATTTACAATTACAATTAATTGTGAGGCAACAAATTTGTATTTTTCAACTGCTGTTTCAAAGAAGTCTATTAGTTACCCAACTGAAGGTGGAGGAAACTTACTAAAAGTATATAAAAGTATATAAAAGTATTTTGAACAAGTCAAATTCTGGAAAAATACTCATCTGCTCACCAGCCAGTCTTCACTCTCATCAACAGTAACACATCCTATCCAAGACCCCAAATGAGGCCTGTGTATATCCTGGTGTGAAGTCATACAAAATCAACATCTACCTTGCAAAACTTACAAACTATGTAAAAGTAAATTAAGTGTACTGTATCTACAATTTTGCTTGATACAGAGTACTTTACAAAACGTCTGCCATGCAGCATTTAAGTATGATTTGGAAAAGAAGTGAAAATTGAATGAGTAGGTGCCTGACTAATTGGAGCTCAAGATGTAAAACTGCTAACAATACTCAATTATATTAAAAAGAGAAAAGAAGAAAAAACATACATCAAAGTCTTAAGAGCAATGAAACTGACTTTTGAGTTCATGACTTGATAAAGGAAGAAAACCCCACCAACTGTATGGCAAACCTTTCTATTTTTACCTCATTTTTGCAGGGTTCAATGATGTCAGTCATAAATCCTTTTGTTCTGTAATCTAAAAAAGTTAAGGAGAACGAAAACTCTTAACCAAAAATTCTAAAAAAGAGAACAAGACTGAGGTTGTAGCCATTTTGGCTTAACCAATTGGCCAATGTAGCAGATTGTATTTCACTGTATGGTTCATTTAACGAAAGTTAGTTTGGATGAAAACCATCACTCTCGATTGAACCCAGAGATACAACATAATAAACATCTGTAAATTATGGAACCTTGTTCTTTTCCACTCAGATTCATGGCCTCTTCGCTTTGGGCTTGGACCATAAATCCAAGCACAAGAAGCTTGGTCTTTAATTTGTGGTTCAGATCAAGAAAACAAGCTTGGTAAAAAGTATTAAAACTTTACTGTAATTTCATACCCCATAATCTCACAGTGCCGTCTTCTGCTCCACTTACGCACTGACTGTGTTTTGTTCTGAGGGTAAGGCACTGAATGTAATCCCAGTGACCAGAGAGTGTGTTCTACAAGTCAAAACGAATATTTGACACTAAGTGAACATCACTTGACAAAATATTCTTTGACAAAACACCATTTGTTAATTTACCTTTAACTTATGTGTGAAATGAAACTATCTTTAAATGTTACAGTGTAATAACAATAACAATAACAATAATAATAATAATAATAATAATAATAATAATAAAGAGTATTTCTATAATGCACAACTCCAATAAATTGCCCGTGGTGCTTTACAACAAATAAAAATAAATTATAAACAAACTACATTCAGTAACATTCACTAACATTCACTAACAAACTTTTTAAAAAGATAAGTTTTCAAAACGCTTTTAAAAATGTAAACAGAAGATCTCCTACGTATTGAAAGAGGCAAAGAGTTCCACAATCTAGGAGCACATACTGCAAACGATCGATCACCATAAGTTCGCATTTTTGAAGATGGCTCTACAAGGTTGCCATTACTAACAGATCGCAGAGAATAAGAGCTCCTACAATAAGTTAAAAGATCAGACAAATACGACGGGGCCTTACCATTAAGAGATTTATAAACTACCTTACATGTCCCCGACTCAAGGTCCCACAGATAAATATTATTGTCCCCACAACCTGAGAAGAGTGTATCTTCCTATAATAACACAGAATACAAGTAAAAAGCTACATAAATATTGAAGTCTATAAGTTGTTTAACAGCCAAGTAAGGGACAATCAGGAACAGTAACCTGATTGGTAATTCTCCCCTCTAGCTGCGAGACATTTCCTTGTTAATTGGTTGTGTGAATTTGGTGATGTTAGACCAAGATATCAACTTTTACCTGATAAGTTTGACTGAATGAGTATTGTCATTCCCTGTTTGCTGGGTACTGTATGGATGTAATTATTAAAGGGAGAAGTTCTATTTTTAATCATTTCAGGAAGTTAAGGGGTTGATGCCATTGTGCCATCTTTGCACCCATCTATTTAACAATTATTCGCCGAAGGTGTGGTGAAAATTGTCTAATTAAATCCCCGAGGAGAAGTCGAGGGGATTATTCAACAATATTCACTGAACCTGAGGCAAATAATTGTTTTGGTATAATTTCAGAACTACAGCTGTAAACAACAGAGAAATTTCTAAAATCATAACATTTTAATAACATTTATTAACATTTCATATAAACCGCGTGGAGTGGTTTACATAGCGTCATATAAGGAACCGCTCGACCAATCACTCAGCTCTGAAATTATACTAATTTCTGTTATATGACAGTAGTTTTATGAGGTGTTAGAAAAACATAAATTTTGTTAATTACACTATATCTCCTTCTGTCAAATCAAGACATGTTGATCTCATGTTTACTATGGAAAACCATAAACTCATACCTGCAGGCAGCACTAAATGGTCAAGTACTTATTCCACATTTACAACATTTTGTCAAATTACTTTAATTAATTCCTCTTGTTTTGTTTACAAAATGTGGCCCTCAATTGCTAAAATTCATTAAATCATAGTTAGTAGAGGAGTACTACTATGATTAGATTAACCCTATAACTCTCACTAATGTCCAAGGTAGAACATCTCCTTGCAATACTATTATGTACAACAGTAAGGAGGCAAATGATGAGAATAAAGAAAAATGTCAATCAGAGGATTATTAGTTGATCTAATATCACAGTCTCCCAACTAAGATCATAAGAATGGTATAGCAGACAGTAAGGAGAATAACTAGTGAGATCTTGGGAGTGAAAGGGTTCTATATGTAGCACTAAACAGGGCTTGACATTAACAGTAGCCCACTAGCCACAGACTAGTAGAAATTCAGTTTTGGCAAGTGGTTTTTGATTTCCACTAGCCAGTTTGGCTAGTAAACAAACTGGAATTGTTGTAATGTCTAAGATGTTACTAGCCACTGGGCTAGTAGGTTGAAAAGATAGTGTTGAGCCCTGCTAAAAAAAAAAAAAAGACTAAAACATTGAGGGGACAAAAATCAGATCCTGAGTATATATTCAGGGTTTGTACACTTTTTTCAGGCCAAAGATTCACGGACTTTTCAAGGACTTTCCAGGACCCTACTTAGAAATTTCAAGGACTTTTTGTAATGAAAATTTTACATCAAAACCAAGAAAAATGTTTCTGTTAACATCTATGTTTTGGGTTTACAGATGGTGCAAAACAAAAGCAGATATTTTTCGATGTTCTTCAATAAAAAATCAAGGACTTTCAAGGACCCAAAACGAAATTCAAGTACTTTCAAGGCTTTGAAATCAGCCTCCTGAAATTCAAGGGTTTTCAAGGGTTTTCAAGATGTGTACGAACCCTGTATATTACAAAAACAATATCCATTTGATTTAGAATTCCTGTTAATCAAACAAGCATTGTTCATTTTCAAAGGCCAATACATACCTGCTCAGCAAATACTAGAGCATTGGTTTCAGGTATATCCAGTGATGCTCTAAAAAAAAAAAGATCAATATTCACAGGTCCAAAGATAAACTTTTTTAATAATCATGGAGGAAACAGAATATTGGTATTATGTCAGAAAAATCCTTTTCAAAGACTTTTCAATGTAGCTCTCAGAACACTCTCCCCTGTTACTTGTTCAGGAAGATACACGATTTATTGAATGAGGACCACAAAGATCATGGAATGATCGACCCTTTACACCCTAACAATAGAGTGCATATTCTCCATACTGTTCTCTATACATTTCCTAATGTGCTGAGTATTGAGAATTTTGTTTAACAATCAAAAGCTTCCTGACAATAGTTGGTGATCATTTCCTTTATTCTCCTGACCTTAATGTGTGATTCAGGGGTGATATTGTAAGGAGAAATTAGATGCTGGTCACTCTTAGAAGTCAGAGGGTTAAATTGGGGCAATATTCAACAAATAAATAGAGACCATAAAGGGATTCCCAGGTCAGTGTAAGTTTACAATACAAAATATGCTGTGGGGGCAGGGAATGAACATGTATTGGTAGACTGTATGTAAGTAAAATATGATGAAGACAATAAGATAGTTCTCATTTTATGAAGTCTCTTAATATTACAAAGAATCTCACCTGGCAGCAGGGGGTTGCAGTGTCCAGGCAGGAGAAGGAGCCTAAAAATTTTGGATTACAAATTAGAAAAAGACTGTAACACAGAATGGAAAAAATTAACACAGAAGTGTGTGATGCAATACCAACCCTGTAAAAACATTGCGAGAAAACAGATAACCTTAATTAAAAATCTAAGATCAGAATATAAGCAGAGTCATGAGTATCATATCCTCACTAAACATTAATTTTAAGAGAGCACTCAACTTCACATATGGTACATGTTTTTTCTCTTTCTCAACTGCTCTTTGAATTAAGCTTGTTGAACACTTAGCCAACAGAACCTCTAGTATTAGGGGTATATAATCATATTATGCACATAAGCCACAGTTTAGCTCAGTTTTCATAGCAAGAAAGATATGCGAGTAACACTGCTTTCACTGAATAAAGAGCTATTCCCCAACCTACCACCTGCCCCCAACCTACCATCTGCCCCCACCCACCCTGGGTGGAGAAAGGCATTGTAAGAGTTTTAAGCATCTTGCTCAAGAACACATCACAATAATTATCTCCTTCAGGGTTTGGAACCTGACCTTTCCTCAAAGAATAAAGGCTGATAGTTTCTAAAGAAACTGTTTGGGGCTTTCAGCGGTGGGGGTAAAGAAATAATTTGGATAATTATATCAACAAAGTTGAAATGATAAATTGGCCACCGTTACGATTACAAAAGCTGACGTTTCGAGCGTTAGCCCTTCGTCGGAGCCCTTCGTCGTCTTTTGCTCTGACGAAGGGCTAACGCTCGAAACGTCAGCTTTTGTAATCGTTACAGTGGCCAATTTACCATTTCAACTTTCCTCAAAGAGTTCACACTATCAGCCATATACCCAACATCTCCTATTCATACTGAAACTAATTACACAATCAATTATTGTTTATAATATTAATTGTGTATAAATACCCTGGTTAGTGTAAATATAGAATTAAAGTAAAGTAAGTCCTGTGTAAATGCTAAGGTACACCAGTTAATTATACGTGACAGTGGCCAACTCGAAAGCTATGCTACTTTGGTCACTGTGCACATTTTACTTTTGATTATTGATGTAATTTACTGTTTCATATATATTCTGACTTTTAAAATCTCTAGTAACCTCTTGAAATAGTGCAAATAAAGAGTTTCAATCATCCAGTGATAAATGTAAAATTATCTAGTAGACAAATATTCACCTCTGTTTTATCTAGAATTTCATCCCATCTCCATCCATGTATTTCAGATGAACCACCACTAAGTTACAAAATGAGTTAGAACTGAACAGCAATGCAAAATTAACAGCTAAATAAATTTATAGAAAAAAAATGTTTGCTTACTCTTAAAAGACAGATCATTTGCTTACTAAAAATTATCCCCTTAAAAAATGATCATCAATAAGAGAAGAGTTACAATCAAATACCTGATTAGAAATTTATCAGTAGATATAAGACTGTAAATTGGGTTGCTGTGACCTAAAAGAAATTTCAATGTTTTTTTTATTAAAGAAAATTCAATGTAGCTTTTATATCAGTCCTGCACTTGTTAACTGCAAAACAAAATTATTTTTCAGTACTGGTGTTCTGCATTAAATGGCCTCATATTGCTAAATTATAACTTTCTGACTAGCCATAGACAATGGCTTATAAAAGAGTTATGAATGCACTTCCTTAAGGCAGCCGAATTTTAGGCATTGTGTATTCTGTAGTAAGATCAATTACAGTCCAGGAATTCAACTGGCAGATAACACTGTCCAGTGGATAAATTGCTAACCAGCACATGGGTGCCAACAAAGCTTACTGTGCTACCCACCAGATAGATATCCATGCAGCGAATAGTGTCATCTACCCTTTGAACGGCCAAGACCTGATCCTCATGCAAACAACAAAAACAACAACAACAACAACAACAAAACAAACGAACAAAAAGACAAGGAGCAGAATGGGTACGTGCATTAAGTACCACTACATAGAATATGAAGACAAGTGTTAGCAGGCATAATTACAGGTGGCCCAAGCTCTGTCACAGGCTCTTTCACAGTGAATATATAATTAGAGAGTTTGTATAGTGGTTTAGTTGGACTTGCTTTTGAGCTCCGTAAATGTAAAGTTCTGTGAAATAATCAAAGAAATGGTAAATTGGCCACCGTTACCGTTATAAAAGCTGACGTTTCGAGCGTTAGCCCTTCGTCGGAGCGAATAGATGAATTGAGGGTTGTGTGTGCTTTTAAAGGCAGAAAATGGAGCTCAGTGATTGGTGGGAACATGATAACGAGAAAAACACGAATAGATTAATGGAACGAAAAGCGTTCGTTGATACCTACAGGTGGGATTTAGACTGCTGGTTTGAAAGATGAGCTTTTGTTCTCTCAACGAGTCCTCCCCATAGTCTTCTAACATCAACCCTTCACACATACTGAGGTACCCCGGGTAAGAGGATATTTGACTAGGGTCCAGGTTGACCGTGCATTAACGGTCTCTCAGCTGCACAAGATGTTCCTTCCACGCATTAGAAGAATTCAGAACGGCCGTTAATTTGAAATTCTCACTGGATTGGTTGCTCGACAAACCATCTTTTGTGGGATTCTTTCAGTGAACTTAAAGGGCAACTATTTGGTATTTGTGCTGCCAGGTTTTGATTCGAGGGAAAGTCTTTAAGTGTTGTTTTCGATCCATTTTGGCAAGCATGTGTCAACAGAAGTTTCCGACCTTCCCATAATTTGTGCATGGTGATTAAGGGTGTCAAGCTAAAACACATCAAGATGGCCTCAAGTCGCGAGGAGAACAACATAGACCACTCTCTATGAAGGCAAGACTTTATTTCTTTGATTATTTCGAACAACTTTACGTTCACGGAGCTCAAAAGCAAGTCCAACTAAACCACTATACAAACTCTTTAATTATATATTCACTGTGAAAGAGCCTGTGACACCTGTGGCATAATCTGAACAAAACTTTGCCATGGCAGGTGAGAATGAGCATGCCATCTTCCAGAATTGCACTACGTTGCAAATATGTACATGGTCACAGTAATTTAGATTAAAACAGCAGAAATTACTCTTGTTTGTGGTATAAATAGTCACCGGTCCAACTGCTCTCCTTGACATGTAAGACTGGCAGACTTGAACAGTACGCAGTACTGAAAGAGCTACAGGTATACGTGTAGACTTACCTTGGAAAAATATTATTGGTCTCTTCTTGTCAGATGAAGCATCCGGTGCTAGAGCAGAGGTAATGCTAAAAAAATACAGATGTAGAGTTATTTACAAAATTGACGAACAAAATATTGGAGTAGCATAATATTAAAACATACAACCTTGATTTGGGATTAAATCCAAATCGTGATGTGGCTTCATTGACACATCCTGATTTCACGTTTATCTATGGAAAACCCAAAAAAAAACAGACAGACAGACGACTAAATACCGAAATGACCCTTACCTGAAAACCGCAATTTGTCCAAAGTTGTTGCACGCCGCTAAGAAATTGCCACATGGTGAAAAGGCCACTGCAAACACTATAGTGTGAAGTTCCAGACGCTTCTGATAGATCTGATTCTAAAAAATATCAGTATTATTATCTTCTTAGTCATAAACTGCTTTTTGAGTCTTTCTCGCTGTGCAAAAAAACCACTAAATTTCTATTTTAGAGGAATTACCTGAAGGTCTGCCGCCATCTTTGTATTTGCCGCTTCTAGGAAATCCGCTGACACGAAAACAACTTTATCCGACTGTCCTTTCATCCTTTGGTCCTAATTAGCTACCCCACTCATTCATCATGCAATAAGCAACACGAGCCGTGTTCGACCCTTTTTATTATGCCTTCATCAAGAAAATGGATAGGAATGATACAACAAACAGCATACATTTACGCGCGAAGGTGCACAAGTGCCTCGCCCCGAGAATATCGCTGGCGCAGCATAAAAATTGGCAAAATATTCAATCCCCTGACTTTTCACAAATCCTTTTAACAGCATCGCGCTTGGCGAAGTAATATTTTGTAAAACTTCTATTGAACAGCTCCGGCCTTTGTGCGAGATATTATTACATTAATATGTCGTTTAAGAGTTGAATTTTCCTGGATGTTTGTAATCTGGACTCATCTCTACCGCTCCCTTTGATGCTGCTCCCAGACAGGAAAGCTGTAGAGCTTAGCTGCAAAATCACCTTTTATGAGGCCCTGAACTTATACAACATCATGGGGGATTTGGATGGGCTTAGAACTTGGAGGAAAGAGTTAGAAAGGGAACAAAAATAAAGCGTTTAGAAATGAGTTTCAGAAAAATTAGTCGAAATGTGAACGTTGTCAATCAACTGTTTTTTAATAACGAATCACATTTTGATGCGCAGAATAAACTAAAGTATCAGAAGGAACTTGTTAAGTTGAAATTGTGATAGAAAGCACTAAAATAAAGAATAGTCTCGTTGTTTCCCATTTTTGTTCTCAGTGATTGGCAAAAGGCCACTACGCATGTCATCATGTTGTGAGTAAGATAGTCCGTAACTTACAAAGACTTCTGGATCCCGAAGTGAGAACGACTGAAAATGAACGAGCAACCGAAGTTTATTTTTGCTGGGATCACATTTCATTGTGGAAGTGCTATTTCCAATATGGCGGCGAAAGCGTCCTAAGTTGGTGAGTGTTTCGTGGACATGTACATGTTTACTTATAACAGTTTTTCAGTCACATGCACAAGGTAACTAGGTTGTAATTGAAGAAGAAAAGTGTTCAGAGAGGGTGTAATGAGCAGGGCAAACGAGCCGGGAGTATTACATCCGGGTGAGGGATCTGTTATAAGATGTAACTTTTTTTTTGGGTACGAGCCCATAACTGGGGGATGTACAGCGGCAGTTTACCGTATTTACAATAAAAGTTCAGCTGAAATTGAAAGAAAATGAATCTTCCTTGAGAGGAAAGTGACTTAGCAAAGAGATAAAATGGCGCTATGAGAGATAAAGAAAATTGTATTGCCAATTTCGTCTCAGACCAGGTGGCAGAGGGAAGGAAAAGGGAGATGACAAAACGCGGAGCCCTACTCCATGGAGTACCCTATGGAGTACTTAAATGGAGTACCCATAAAAATCATGTATTGGTCAGATAAAATACTTTATAAACATGGTAAATCGTATAGATGTACAC